CGTCGCACAACCGACTGGTTATGGTCCAAAGTTGAACTAGCCATCCAGCTGGAGCAGCAAAAGCGCAATCGCCGAGATTTTGATAGGCAGCTAGGTCTGAAACCTGCGGCAGGGTACTTCGGTACTAATCCACCTCCCGATGATAACATCGCTGGTGCCCCGGCACCAACCCCAGACCCAGACAGACCCGGAGAACACTCCTGAATCTCCAGCAAGTCAGGCTTCAGGGGGGAGTGAGGACTTCCTTCCTTGGAAGGATGCTCAAAATGAAGAGGATATGCAGGCAGCCCCTACCCAAAAGGCTAGACCCGTAGGATTAAAGCAGCCTTCATCCACTGATGTGGATAGCACGACCCCTAGGGGAGAGGAAGCCAAGAAAGCAGCCCGAATGTCGGCAGCCGAAAAGGCCATCACCCCTTGCATGTTTTTCGCATACAATGCATGTAGGGCTAAATCGTGCGCATTCCCCCATTCTGAAACCAATAGATATCAAGGATAGAGCACTTGGTAAAGGCGGCAAAGCCCCTCCCAATGCCTATGCTAGTGTAGCAACTGTGATAGTCCCAGATGATGATGGTGTGCGGCGAAGGTAGCTTGCACCATAGAGCGACCTCCACAATACCAGAGACTTCAAGTTACGTCCGCGCGCCGGACCAGTCCGGTTTATATACAAGTTTCACCGCAAAGCAATCACAAGAACACACAGCAGTCATTAGTGGTTGAAAGCTGGCACAGTGAATATTGATCATGTCACAGCCGAAGAGGTGTACTGGTAGTGAAACAAAGCGGTTGTCTGAAATGGTCAACGTTCCATATTCCAAATCCCAAAGTGACGTTTTGCGTCTAATGAAAAGTTTCATACAGAACAGGGTACTCGCCCAAGACCGTGAAGGAGGTGGCTCTTCATACAAGGCTGAAGAGGTGGGGAGGTCGTGAAAATGGTCGTGTAGTGGTGTAGAAAATGGGACGCGGGATCTAACAGGAGGTTGCACACTTGATCCGTAGGACCAAAGAAATGGAAACACACCAGGAGATGTGGTGGGGATCCCACTACTCTGGACTCTGGTCCCCTCGGGTCGTACCCAGTGAGGGGGTCTGGAAGATCGCGGGACGTACCCAGTGCGATCTGGTGAGAGTAGTGTCGGGATCAGGGTAAAAGAAGGGGGGGGAACGTGGTAGAAGGTACAGCAGAATGATTTATTGGAGGCTCTCAAATCCAATTACTATGTAACATCCGACAAGCGTGTCGCGCCTGAGAACCGTCATTGGTTGCCCTTGCGCCCCTTTCCCTTCCCTTTGCCTCTGCCCCGGCTCCCGGAGGCTGCACCTCCTTTACCTTTTCCTTGACCTTTACGCCTTGATATAGGGGACCTCGATCGGGGTATATTTGGATACCTTTTGGGGGTTCCTGCATCCTGGAGGCCACAAAGAGAGCCCAATTGCCGTCATGTCTGATCCTTTCAAAGTGCAATCTGGAGGGTTCTCCTCGTTTGAGTATGAGTGCAATTGCCCCTGACTTGTCTTTACGGACCCATTCCAGATGTGCTGTGATATCCATGTCCCGAACCAGGTGTTCTCGATCGTGTTGTGGGAGGGCCCCCCTTTTGTTATTGGACGGCGTTCTGGCTTTTTGTTCCAGTGTTTCAGGGTCAGTTGGTTGGAGCAGGGACGATTGAACGTCTTCTGCCAAAGCTCGTGCGATTTCCGCTTTGAGATCCCGACCTTCGATTTCTTTGCGTTCAAATTTTTCCCACACTTGTTTAACTTTGTCCCCGTGTTCCACCCGGAGTCTTCTGTAACCCTCTTGCTGGCTCTTGTACCAGCTCCACCCGGTGTAGTCGTTCCTCGGCTGCATCCAGTCTTGCTTTGTGGTCTTTAAGCTGGTTGGACACTTGTACTTTACGGGTTGGGGGCGAGGCCATGGCAGGGGGGAATAGCAGAGCGCGAACGCAACAATTGCTACGAGATGCCACATTTGAGTTTGAGATTGCTGCGGTGTGTATGGTCAGTGTTTTCCTCGTTTAGGGATTTTGCCGATAAGTCCATCCGCCAAAGCCTGTGCTGAATGACTGTTTCTTTCATGGGTTTTTCGGGAGATAACCGATTGAAAGACTTTGTGGCAATATTTGCATGTGAGGTTGGCGTTGCCTGGTCCCCTACATGTTGGAAAATGCTGGTTATAGTTGCCCAGGCTGAAAGATTGGTCGCACTTTTCACATGTTCGCAGCGCTGCTGCGGGTCGTCGACGGGCCGCTCTTGGACGTGGTGGAGGCCTCGGTGGTGCAGGGGGTTGTCCCATAGGTCCCTCGGGTGGTGTGGTCCATGCTGTGCAATGCGGGGAAATGCGCGAATGCGTCCCTCTTTCATTCAGCTAAGCGGTCTGCTACCTCATTGCCATGTTCGCCACTGTGTCCTTTGACGTGTTGAAAAGTGAGTTGGATTTTGCTGCGAACTCTGTCCACTAGACGTGCGACCATCTCAACCAGTCCGTGGTTACAGGTGGGGGTGGAGAGGCGGGTAGATACCCCGTAGGCATACATGCTATCGTAGTGTATGGTTGCTGTGAGTGGGGGGGCAAAAGGTAGGCGAAGTTCGATATATTCCAGGAGCCAACGGCAAGCCTCTCCAATGGCCGACACTTCCCCTGTGTTGTTCGTGTGTGTTGTTGCGCCAAGCCAAAGTGGGTCAAAAGAGGCAGTGAGTACAGGACCATATAGCGCACTTAACCAATGCTGTTCGGGACTTGGGTTGGGTTGGGCGAAGATCGCCGCCCCCCATCCTGCAGTGTTGTTGTGTCCACCGGACCCATCCGTGTAAATTGAGAAGTGGGGTGTGCGATGGAGGGTGGGGAAGTTTGGGGGGCCATGTACCATGAGCATATCATCGATCTGATCTAAGCGCGTAAGGCGTTGTTTGGCCGGGCACTGGCGCGATGTGAGTTGTTTGCGTCGTCGGAAGTGCGCGTGACAAAGCGTACATGAATAAGTTTCCACTGTTACCAAGCTGGGGTCTGCGATTGCGTGGTGCTCTTCGTAGTGAAATGTGGCCTGGTTGGGTTTAGCAAAGGTTTCTGCGCACACTGGACAAGCCCATTGTCCTGCTTCATTTTTGTACACGCGTTGTTGCCTGGTTCCTTGACCGTCGCGATGCCTGTATTCCCTACGAACTCTGCGGCGGGGTCGGCCGCGTCGTTGTTCACCTACCTCTTGTTCACTACCATCTGCGCTCTGATCATCTTCCACGATCTGGGAGGTCGGGACGAAATTGGGTAGGGGCCGGCCTGGACGCCACTGGTCCAATGCTTGTTCGAAATCCCGGTTGACTTTTTCTTGTGGAAAGGCTTCATAGATTCGTTTCTTCCATGTTGTTTTGTTTTGTGCCAGGCGAAACCAGTCGGCTTCTGGGATTTGTGCTTTCTTCAAACAGGAGTTGATCCACTGTGCTTGGCGGTATGGGGCATGTGGTTTGGCTCCTGCGTTTTCTATCCATCCAAACATCACTGCCTTTTGCCTCTGATCGACATGCATTCTAGCGACATGCCCAATCCACATCAGGGTGGCTCTACGTACCATGGTTTCGAAGGTTTCCCACTGTGCTAGATGACGTAATACATGATTGGATAGTCCATAGGGATGTATCATCCTCATTCTAATACCCAAACATCTGCGAATCGCCAAATGGATAACTTTTTGAGCTCTTTGAAGTTGCAAGGTTCATTTGCCATGACCGCGTCTTACAAAAACTTGAAATGACTCCCCTTAAGGACTGATTTCATGACGCGTATGCGGACCGAATATTTGATTCTGTGTTTATTGATGTGTGCCCCGCGACCCTTAGTCCATGCCCCGGCTACCCAGCCAACTTTACGCAATGCTTTTGTGATGCGTGCTTGCGTTTCGGAAACGTGATTGCCCCGCACACCTAGAAGAGCCCCTACATGTTTAACTGTTTGCGCTTCGCCCAAATGTGGAATATTAAAGGCTGCGGTTGCTTCGCTAGTGACTCGCAGACCTTCTGTTTTGTGTCTGTTTAGGGCTCCTCCAAAAGCAGTGATTGTCTTATCAAAAATCGTCTCTGCAACGAAGGTTTCCTCTACTTCTCCCGCGATTGCGGTATCGTCCGCATAGGCAAAATCTCCAAAGATGTGTTGCTTAAGATGTCTGTGTTCCGTGACTCTATCGTTTCGTTTTTTTGCCGAGTTTGCCATCTATTTTGGAAACCCATGGTATGCCGGGTGGGGACCCTAGAAGGGCTGCGGCCCGGGCGCGTCGAGCCCTAAAAACTTCTAAAATTCCGTGATGATAACAGTTGAAAAGCACCGGACTGCTGGGACATCCTTCACGTAAACCTCTTTCCGGTAAAAAGTTGGTGGATAGTGTCCCGGATACCCGAACTTGACTCCTGGAATGGTCGTGAATAGCCTGGAAAATTCGGAGAAATGGTGTAGGACATCCTTTGAGTTGGAGCATTTTCCATAATGGTTCTCTAGGGACTTTGGGATAAGCTTTTTCCAAGTCAAAGAACCTGAAAACATATACTCGGTCGTGTACCGACCCAGTGGCTTCTTCTAAAATAGTCCTGGTAATTTGCTGCACATCATCGATACTGGCGCCCTTTTTAAAACCGAACTGATATGGATTTAGCCATGGCTTGCTCCATCTTTGGAGACGAGCAGAACATATGCGTGCAATCAGTTTACTTCCTACTGAGAGCAACGTGATACCTCTCCAAGTATTTTTGTCATGGCGGTTTCCCTTTCTTTTCCATAAAGGTACGATCACCCCTTGCTGCCAAGCTAGAGGCCATGACTCTGCCTCTTGGCCCTGATCGGACTGGGCGGCTTGCCGCCATGCAGTTTGTACTATGTGTCTAATTTCATTGAATAGTGTCGGACCCGCTAGTTTTAGGTATTCTGCCATAAACATGTCTGCCCCTGGTGCGCGTCCATAGTCCATATCGTTGATGGCTTTTTGGATCTCTTCTGGAGTTGGAACATCATTTCATGTTGCATCGGTATCAAGTGGTAAGATATCCTGCCAAAACTCTTCGGGTACAATGATCTTGCCTAGTTGTATGGCTTGAAAATGTTGTTTCCATTCTTCCGCGATCTCCTCCGGATGATGTTCTGTGCGACAACCAAACCTGCGTTGTGTGTCCTCCACGTTAGCTAGGTCCTTTACAATGCGAAATACAGTGCCCATGTCATGTCTGGCAGACGCTTGGTCCGCCAGGTGAGCTTGCTGTGTGAGCCAATTTTCCTCCCATTGCTGCAGTGTCTGGGCTTTGTGCTGTCTGGCTGCCTGTAATTGGTGGCGTTTGCGCCGTTTTTGTTGTGTCCATTCTTCTGGGGGTAAATTGTGTGGGTTATTACGAATCTGTCGATCTGCTTCTTGTGCTTCGGAAATCCAGGTGTCCAATTGTTTAACTTCCGTTTCTTTCTCTGCTAACCAAGGAGCCCCTGTTCTTCGGGCCAAGACTCCACAGATTTGAACCGCCTTCTCTCTACACAGGGCGCTCACCTGATCCCAACGTGCCTGGAGTGAGGAAGCAGGTGGTGCTTCCTCCAGGTAGGTCTCCACTGCCTCCGTCCACATCTGACGAAGCCGCGATGCCTCAGCAGAAGGGCCCCTGAGCTTTTGGACATCCGGTTTAGACGGGATAGTGTTGGGTCTCTTGTTTCGGCCCCACATTTTGCCATGCCGGAGTGTGAGTTCAACTGGGTTATCGATCAGTATATGCGGACCATGGCCAGTCTACGTTGGGGCCTTCCTGCAGAATTCTGCAACTGACTAAGTGCCATAAATGTGTGTGGTGAATGAAACTAGACGACGGATGGCCCGAGAGCGTAGACGAGCAAAGTCTTCTGTTGCTAGTATGGAGACACTAAATTACAAGACAATATATTGAAGATGTATTATAGGCAGACGAGAAG